TGGCGTTTTTTTTTTTTGGAAATTTACTTTGTTAAACTTGTTTTGGGTTCAATTACATTTTGGTGCTGGTGGGTTTTTTGTGCTTTTTATAACGGCGCCCCCCCCCCCCCCCCCCGGTCTGCTTGGTACCCCGTATACCTACCACAAGATTTGGTTCTATTTAGGCCAGGACTTTTCCCTCTGCCCTGATCTAGACTTCGAGGACATTATCAACTCCTCCCGTCCTAACACCCCCTACCTACGCAGTAATGAGAAGCAATCAGGAGACCAGGCAAGGTGTTGTTTGGAGATGTTCATTTCTCATTCCTGATTGGCTGGCATTTTTTTCAGCTCTCTTCGAGCACTGACCATCCAGGAGTCTCGCTGATCGTTTCGAAACCCCTTAAAGTCTCGAAACATCGCATCCGGGCGCTGTCATTCGACACCTTCCAAAACGGTCACCAGGATGGGGTAGATCCTCAATGCTGGAGACCCCCATGTCTCCGCTTTCTAAGTGGCGGGACTTTGTATATCGGTAAGTACGGCCTAATTGCGCGCATCTCCGCACCGCGTCTTAAACGGCCGAACTGGGTAATTGTTTCCTCTAGAATGTCGAGCTATCCCCTCCGATTAGTTCTGCCATCCTAGAGGCCTGGCTTCTTCAATTTCTGGTGGCTCACAAACTTGACATGTGTGAAGTGACACTGGCCGGCGACGAGCATCGCACAACCAAGGTGCCGCAGGCTCCAGCGGTCATCCGTGTTGATAAAGATGGCTGTGTTCCCTCCTCGAATCCCCCTTCCCACCCCAACTTCCAAGCCTCCTGAAGGTCGTTGTCGCTCTTTTTTACTCCCAAACACCACAGGGGTGCTTGTCACTTCCGGCCTCGGCCCAACCTATCCGCTCATTAGTTTCTTCGTCACTCCTTCAGTATGTTGTTTTCGCGTTATTATGGTGCTGGCCTGGCTGCCCTCTGGGCCGTGGTTAGCTCTGCAAGCCCCACACCGGTGGACGTAATGGTCGGTAAACCAGAGAATGACTTGGTTTTCCGGGAGGCGCTGGAGTTGGCGCGCCAGCCGCGGCTGGACAAGAGACTCTCAGCGGACTTCGACATGGAGAAGGCATGGAAGAACGAAGTTCTCTTCGCTGGGTAAAGACTCGATGTAATCCTTGCCGAGCCCAGGGACGTCACTAATTGTTTCACAGATCCTGGGTCAGCGTCGGTGATGCCGGGGATGTGGAGAGGGTTTCACTTGCAGTCACTTGTGTCGACTGTTACACCAAGGGCACTGTCGTTGCCAAGCTGACGGATGAGAATATCATTGATCCCACTGTCCGGCTCGAGTTCAAAGGGGTCGAAGCTTATGTGGATATGGAGCTTGCCGTTTCTGCCGGCGCTTCTTATGCAATCAACCTGTTCGCCTCCAACTCGCCCATCGGTCTGGGCTTCCCCGGGCTCAGTGTTGGGGTCGTCTTCTACGTGGACTTGGTCTTCAGCTTGACCGAACAGATCGACCTTGAGGGCGGCTTCTACGTCAAACTCGCCGACGATGCTTATTTGGAAGCGAGCGTATTTGGTGGAGATATCACTGATCATTTCTTGTAAGTGTGGCACGAGTCCGGATGCCGACCCCCAACAACAGACACCACGGCGCTAATGATAGAGATCAGTGATGGACTCAGCAGCAAGTCCCTTCCGGTCACCGTCAAAGCGGGACGGGCCACCTTCAAGGCCGACCTGCGTCTCCGCGTGCAATGCGGTGCTGAAGCGGAGTTTTTCGGGATCGGAGCCGGTGCCGAGCTGGGTATCTATGCCAACATTATCGAGTTTGTTGCCGTTTTGGATTCCACCCCTACCTGTGCGCTCCAGAGCACGGAGTGGTGGGATCTCAACGTTGGCGCGTTCGCTCACTTTGACGTCGTCGTCGATTACAAGACCATCGGCGCTATTCCCACCGTCTCCACGACTTTGCTCACTGCTCCTACCCTCACCCAATGCTGGATCAGCGAATCGGCGGCTGAGACGGGAAGCTATCTCACGCAAACAGCTGACACAAACACCGTTCCTGTCGCCTCTGAGGTGGTTTCCGTCTCTGTCTCATCTCCGTTCGAAAGCGGCCCCACGGAGGGGCTGACGACCTTCAACAGCCCGACCGTCACAACTGCGCCCTCTGCTTCTCCGACTGGGTCCTCATCTCCCACCTTCAGGTACCCCGGTGCCAATTCGTCGACATCTGCTGGCGGCGATGACCTGGTCACTTCAACAGTCTCTACGACTACAGTCTATACGATCACAAGCTGCGCCGCTAGCGTTGTGAACTGCCCAGCCTCGTATCAGAGCGAGATCCTTGTCACCCAGACGGTCGACATCTACACGACAGTCTGCCCAGCTTCCGCCAACATCACCTTGCCAGCCACGCCCAGCAGCACCGCGATTGCGGAGCCAACCGCGGCGGCGGCCGTCGTCCACATCATCACCGACGTCGTCGTCCTCGTCCCGTGCGCCACGCCGGTGGTCGAGACGTTCGCGCCGCCGAGCTCCATCGCACCGCCCGTGGTGCACCAGGCCGCGGCCACAGCGACGGTCGGCACGAGCCCCTCGTCCTCTGCCGGCGCGACACCGCCGTCGTTTGTGGGCGGGATTGGGGTGAAGGCCGGGTCGTGGAACAATGGTACTTCTTCGTATGCTACTTCTTCCTCTGCCTACGGTACTGGGGCGCCGAGTGCATCCTGGGTGCAGACGACGGCGGCACCGGTCACGACGGCCGTTGCGGCTGGGGCTGCTGGGCGGGCCGCTGCTGGGGGATTGGCTGTTGCGGCTGGGGCTGTGGTAGCTTGGATTATGTTGTAAGGTGGGGGATTCGGGAATTCCCATAGGTGCACTTGGTTGGATGTTGTAAGGTTTGTTTGAATGGAGTAGATCTGATACCCAAAAATAGCCCATCCCAGCTCCTGCCAACTATTCATCATACCGGGCTACCATAGTACACGTAGGTGTCTTCGTAAGCCAACCGACAATCACAGGGTTCTGTAAGCGCCTCCCTCCCAATAATTAATTGCCCGTGACTGCTGGGGACGATCTTTGGCGATTTTGGTGGAGATCCCTTGCATCACCCAATTGTCATGGCACATCGGTGACGCAATTGTGCATCCCGACGTCATGCATCCCCCACACGGAGCGAGCAGCTTGGGGTTCGGGGATGGGGATCTCGGCGTGTCTACGGAAAGCTTATACTGACTGTAGTGATATGGAGGAGCAGAAACAGCATCCTCGAGCTTGTAATTCGGCCTTGGGAATTGAGGGAAGTCCTGGATTAATTGCTATCGGTAGTGATTCGGACGGATATCCTGCAAGAGCAGAGAGGCAAACACGGATAGTATCAAGCAGCGACAAACCGGGAAAGCGACTAGGTTGTTGGTGACAATGGCAACCAGCTGGTCCCTCCCGCCTTGTCCCCGTCCAACGGTTGACCTTGACCAAAGACGTCACTCCTTCCCTCCTCTCCAATCGAGTGACCACTGTCCTTGCTTTAAGCCTTCAACTGTTCCCATAAAACATACTCTCGGGCTTGCCCTCCCTTAGATCTTTTCCACCTGAATCAATCCATAAGACCCTGATCGCCACTATTACTAGTCGCCTACGTATCTTCTCATAAACGCTCTTATACTTCATCACCGGTTAGTACCTTCACTGGATATACCCTGTCACGGATCGAACGAAACCAGCGACCGAGGCAAGAAGATTACAAAGTAGACTGAAATTAAATAACCATGGAGACCATCAGCAACATGGCAAACACAGCCGCGAAGGCCGTCTGGGGAACCAGCGCGTCCCATGAAGAGCCCATCTCCGGCAAGTCAGGAGACGTCTCCAAGGGAGAGCCATACGACGCCGGCAACATTGGTGGTGCGTACCTCGGCCCCCCCTTACCCAGTCTTATGTGTACTGACGGAGCAAAACCTACCACAGAGTATCTAACCCGAAAAGCCTACCAAGCCTGGTAACTAAAAGAGACAACCACAAAAGAACCCGGCGACAGCACCGGAGTGAGAGCCACTGACCGCACGCCCACCAACACCAACACCGCCAGCGCCAACAGCGGCGGCACGGGAATCTCCAGCGACACCTACATCGGCGCCCCCACCTCCGACACCACCACCAGCGGCAGCGGCGGCAACCCCCCACCCCCCAACCAGACCCAAGACTCTTCCACCGGCCGCGGCGACAGCAGCCGCACGCAGGGCGACGTCAGCTCGCCGTCCGACCCCCTGCAGCCCGGCGCGACGGCGGCGCGCCAGCGCTCCGACGTCGACGACTCTGGCGACGGGCCCGACGTGGACGACAACCCCGCCAAGCTCGACGGGCCCGGTCCGCGGCCGATCGAAGAGGTTGCGCGGGAGCGGGGTGGGGACGCGGGGAGGGCCGGGGGGAATGCCGGGGGCGGGGCGCTCGGCGGCGGTGAAGCCAAGGACGAGGGGGCGGGTGGAGAGGACGGGCCGCAGAAGGAGAGCCATGGGGAGGGGACGGGGGAGAAGTACGTCAAGAGTACGGGGTTAAGGGCCGATGGTGGGGATTTCGATGCTGCGAACCCTGGGGCTGGGAAGGAGGCTGAGCGTATGTTGTTTCTGGTTTCCTTATCCCCCTGCTGCTTGCAAATCTCTCAATCTCTCTCTCTCTCTCTCTCTCTCTCTCTCTCTCTCTCTCTCTCTCTCTATCTATCTACCTTGTACTGACAATTCTGGGTTTCGCAGGTCTCCTCGATCAGAAGGGCGTGCACAGGGACCCCGGACCGAAAACGGCAGGCTCCGACGCGGGTGACTCCAAGGACACCCACGCGAAGGACGCCCACAGCGGAGGCAAGGACAGGAAGCTGGGCGAGAAGCTCAAGACGAAGCTGCATATGGGCCATGCCTCTTCCTAGGCTCTTATATATACTCTCTGGTTCAACCAACCTGCCTGACTGGTGTTGTACGATGCCATGGTGTGGTGAAGGTTTGGGGCGCGGAATGACTGCATGATGGAAGGATGTCAATGGCCAGCCACACTGAGCCGTTCTTTTTTACTTTTCTGCTTGTAGTCAACTAGTCGATTATCACTGACACATTACTTGCTTGTCAATTTAACGATTAAATTGATTCTATGATATGAGTGTGTTAATGGATATCTCTTTTTAAGTCATGCCTACCTGGTTTCTTCATCATATCTCCGTTCAATATCTCTGTTGGACCCGCGATGGGCCTTACCGCCCAAATGCAACGCTATGCTGAAACCAGGGAAGCAACCCAACGCCTGTCATGGGCGACGTCATGTCATAGTATCTGGTATACATCACAAGAACTTCGCAAAGACACCCCGGTGGAATCTTCGCCTTCTCACCAACTCGTCATTGTCATTACTGGTAAGCCGGCTTCAGGGACCAGATCGCCCGTCCACTCGATCCGCGCTTCTCCATCTTTGCCACCTTCTCCAGAGCAACCTTGAACAGGTTAGCCTGTCGGGCATTCGTGCAGTAGTGGTTGAAGTGGTCCACGAGCAGCTTGGACGGGACCTGGCCGCCGTGCCTCTTGATGTAGGCGGGTATCATCTGCACAAAGTCATCCGACCTGGCAGCCTGCTGTCTCCCCGAGCCGCTCGGCGTGGCCGATCTCGAGCTCCCCGGGCTCCCATCATCAAGGCCCTGCCGAGTGGCGATGCCGGCCAGGACACCGGACGAGCTGGGACCGCCTCGTCCGCGGCGGATGTTGCTCGGGCGGCCAGCTTCGCCCACCTCGCCGGTCCAGGTGACGGTGCCGATGGGCACGTTCTGGGCCTGCTCTCCCGCCCGGCGGAGGTGCGCAGCGGCCAACCTCGCGACCCGGTTCGCCTCCTGCTGCAGCATTGCACGGTCTGCCTTGACCGTCTTCTTGCCGCTCATGATCTCGTCGTGCTCCAGCGCGCTGTGTATCCCCGAGCTGGCAAAGATGCCTTCCATGAGACGGTCCTCCTCGCTCGGTTGTGCCTCGGCCTCACCCCTGTAGACCTCGAGCCCCGCGACACCCTCGATGCCTTTGAGCCCCTCATCGCCATCGGCAGCGCTCTCGAGCTTGGCAGCAGGCTCCACCGTCTTGGAAGCTGAATTCTGAGGTTTTCGAAGGGGACCCATGTCTCTGTCCGGTAGAATCATTTCCTCCGGCCCCGATGGCTTGTTGAGTTTCACCTCGCTGCCCTTGAATAGCTCGCTGGTCTCGGTCCTGCCTTCTTCATACGAGCTGAGTGTGAAGAGGTCATGCAGATCCTTAAGTCGGAAGGTAGTTCGCTGTTTTGGATCTTTCAACACCTTGTTTGACAGGAACTGCTTGAAGATCTGGCGGTGGTAGATCTTCTCTTCGATGGTGCCGGCAGTCATGAGCCGGTAGATTGTCACTTCCTTCTTCTGTCCCAGGCGCCAAGCTCTCTCGCGGGCTTGCACGTCATTGGACGGATTCCAGTCGGGATCGAAGATGATGACTCGGTTTGCCCCCGTGAGATTTACACCCAACCCCCCAACTTTGGTAGTCAGCAGGAAGAGGTCAATCTCTGGGGTGTTGTTGAACTGGTCAACGCGTGCCTGGCGCTCCTTGATCGGTGTCTTACCGTCCATCCGAAGGTACCGGATGCCATCCTGGCGCTTGACGAACTCCTCCAGGACATCCAGCATCTGGGTGCCTTGGCTGAAGAGCAAGGTTTTATGTCCCAGCCGCTTCCACATTTGCAGCAGAGCTTTGACAACCTGCATCTTGCCGGATTTATTGGCACTTCCCCACTTGTAGCCCGGCATGGTCTTCAGTCGAGTGTCAAGCAGGTCCGGATGGTTGCATATCTTGCGGAGGATGTCGATGCCGTAGAGGGACTGCCGCGTCCTTGCCAGAATTGCCGCCATCTCATCTGATTTCAGGAACGACTCATACGCCGTCCGCTGTGGCTGGGTCAGCTTGCAGAACAGAACCTGCTCGCTCTTCTTAGGCAGGTCTGCAGCTACGTCCGCCTTGAAGCGCTGGAGGAGATACGGGCTGATTGCGTCCTTCAGGGTCTCTGCACATTTCTGCGCCGTCATGACCTGGAGATTTGTTGCATTGCCATAGCCGCCAATCTTGATGGGTATCTCGAATTGATTGCGGAAGCTGACCAGGGTCCCTAGCCGCATCGGGTATACGAAGTCGAATAGGGACCAGAGCTCGGTCAGGTTGTTCTGCATCGGGGTTCCAGATAGGATGATTCGATGCACGGTCCTGAGCTCTTTGCAATTGACGGTGATGGTGGTGTTGGGACTTCGGATCTTGTGACCCTCGTCCAGAACAGCGTAACCCCAGTCGACCGGGATTAAGACGTCGCTATACGTCTGTAACCCTGCGTATGTGGTCACCAAGACGTGACCGTGTTTCACCACTCGGTCGACGATCTTCTCCGCTGCCTTGTTGGACTTTGTAGGTCTGCGAATGCCCCCCCAATCGTCTTCGTGCTCTTCAAGATGGCCTTCGTTCCGCACGTTCAACATCCCGCTACCCGAGGAATGCAAGATAGACACTCGCAGAGGGGGCCACCAGCGATGGAATTCGTTGACCCACTGTTGAAGGACCGTAGCTGGTGCGACCACTATCACCGGTTTGTCAAGCATCTTGCTATAGTGCAAGGCGGCAACAAAGGAAATAAGTTGGACTGAGAGACAAGTCAGCGTTTGCATGGAGAGATGGCCAAAGCCAGCGACAACAGCTCATACCTGTCTTGCCAAGCCCCATCTCATCTCCAATAATGCCACCAACTTCCTGAGCATATAGTTCTGCAAGCCACTGCACGCCTGTTTTCTGGTAGTCGAATAGCGAGGGATAAATGTCACCGGGTAACTTGAGGCCATTCTCGAACTTGTGGTCCGGCTGGTCGGGAGAGGGTTTGAACCACTCTTCCTCGCCAGTGTCGAGCTCGATAAGTTGGCCAGAATTTTCCTGGCGGCGTCTTCGAGCACGACTTCTTCGATCCACCCAGTCCTGAAGCCTCGTCTGGTAGACGTCCTCGTTTCCATCGTCGATTCTGCTCAGGTCGACTTTGCCTTCGCCCCTTGCAACTTTCTTGCGGGGGGGTTTGCGAGTCAGATCAGTTAGGTCGACATCATCACTCTCCTCATCACCAAACTTGAATGGTTCGGGAGTTTCCGCCTCCGAAGCGGCAGCGCTGGGCGTGAACTCATCAGACGAGACTGCCTCGGCTTGGACCTTGCGTTTCTTTCGTGGCCGCAGAGAGAATTCGTCCTCGACCACCGACGGCCCGGATTCAGGCTCTTCAGCAAAACCCGGAAGCCGGAGGTTCTGATGCGAGCGCGGCTCATAGCTGACCTGCTCTTCCAGCTCATCGGCCACAGCTTCATCCTCCGCATCGAGGATCACATCTGCGAGATCCCCCTCCAGGCCCTCTGGACGAGGCCCACCGACCTTGGAGAACGGAGTGATCTTGCCAGTTCGGATGAGGTATTCCCGCTGGGTTTCATTCGGGAGTCTCTTCCCGCCCGTGCCAGGCCCACGTTCCTCAGATGCATCTTCCTGGTGCCGCTGCTCGATCCGTTCTTTGAAGTCGGAGATGTCTTTGTCGCATATTTGTATCTCGGAGTCGAGGCGGGCGATCTCTTGTCGGATACGTTGCTGCGCTATCAGGTTGCCAATTGAGCTTTGTAGCTTCTGGTGTAAGGTTCGTCTCTGGTTATCGAGTCTCGTCTTGGTGAGCTCTACTTTCTCGATGCGCTTCTGATCCTTCTTGTCTTCTGCATCGATCAGGGCCAGGTTCGCCTGGAAGGTGATATCTCTCTCGAGTTCATCTTGGTCTCGGACATTTTCAGTCAGATCTTTGAGCGCAGATTCTTCGTCGGTGGGGTTGTTTCCCTTTTCGTTCGGATTGGGAGACGAGGCAGTTTTGTCGTGATCATGCTCTGCCTGGAGGGTCTGATTGGCGCTCGAGGTTGCCCCGGAATCCTCGCCGTCAGCGGTCATGATGAAAGATTCCGGAATGATGTCATGAAAGAAGAAAGAGCAAAGGGAAGCAAGTTAGAAACGTAGAGTGGTTGACGAGGTTGCGAAGAAAGATTTAAATTTTTGAAGAACTCGTAGTTCTTTGTCGACTTTTATTTAGTAAGAGGCAAAAAATGCACTCCGGGAAGGCAGGTGGTGCCTGGATGACGGGCACGGCGGGGTGACGCATTCATTGTCTGGCTGTCGCGAAATCCCGCGAAGTCAGGTGACTTTATACGTTAACTTAAATGGAATCGAGTGTGGGCTATGGGCCATGGCCACCCTTCCAAAGGTTATGGCTTACGCATACAGTAATGTGACAGGACAATAAAATTCTAGAGGACTGTGGCAATCCGGAATGGTTACTTTATCTCACTCATGGAAGCGTTGAGGAGGTGCTGCTGCTCCGGAGCAGCAAAAGTACAGGCAAAGCTCGAAGGGCCGAGGCACCTCAGCAAACAATTTGGTGGTATGATGGGGACTTACACCTCGGCCCGCATCCTGCACTCCTTCAAGTCACTTCGAGGCGATATGTTATCACCTTCCCCATCTGCCTCGACGAGGGACCTGACTCGGCCGCCATGGCTTGAGGAGATGCTTCAGGACCGCTCCCTCGCACCCAGGCTCTTCTCATGGACATTGGCGAACCTTCCTGGAGTTCAAGGTTGCCATCGGGGTCAAAATAAGGAGGTTCCTACAAGCGGAGACTCGAGTAAACGCTTCTATGTCCTCGGCGTCGGAAATCTTGGTCGTCTCTTCGCAACTGCGCTCGCCAAGCTTCCAGAACCACCACCGATTACCCTCGTGTTCCACAAGAGGTCGTTACTTGAGCAATGGGCGTCGAACCCGGGGATTGAGATAACTCGCTCCGGGACGAGAGCGCGGACTCTCGACTTTAATGTCGAGTGGTGGACCGATCAGAGGCCAGACATTGGTCCAACCACGGAGATCTGCAATGGGCGCGCCATCTCCAACCTCATCATCGCAACCAAAGCCCCGGATGCGCTGCCTCAGGTCGATAAACTCCGCCGTTATCTGAATGGTCGGTCCACGGTTGCCTTTGTTCAAAACGGCATGAACAGACTATGGCCCCCGTACGGGGTCGAGTACAACCATTGCCGGTATCAGCCAAATGGACATCCGAACTGGATTGCCTGCGTCGCAACGCACGGCGTCACGTCCTTAGGTACTTTCAGGAGCCTCCATGCATCGCCGGCCGACGTTGCCATGGGACCTGTGTCGCTGAACAGCGAGAACGCGTGGCAAGCGGATTATCTGATGAGCCAGATTACCGCAGCTCCCTACCTTGACGCCCGACGGGTCTCGAGGTCAGATCTCTGGGTTTTACAGCTGGAGAAGCTCATTGTTAACTGCATCATCAACCCCCTCACAGCTATACTACGGTGCAAGAACGGCGTTCTCTTCGCAGACCAAGACGGCCCGCTCATCCGGGTCATGGACGTGCTCTTGGAAGAAGCCAGCCGCGTACTTCAAACTTTAGTCCGGGACGAGACCAGCAGAGAGATTTTGCTGGATAACGACGCAGTCCCCGATGGACAGGAATCCGTCGAGATGCGGCTCCAATATCTACTCGACCGGTTTTCCACCGCACGCCTAAGAGCCATGCTACACACTGTTGGCGAAAAGGTCAAGGACAACACAAGTTCCATGTTGCAAGATGTAATGTCGGGAAAGAAAACCGAGATCAGAGAGTTCAACGGATGGCTGATCGATACTGCCGGCTACCTGGGCGGGCTGGATGTCGAGGGTCACAAGCGGCTGATCCAGCTCGTGGAAAACGGCACCGTTCTGGAAGCAACACAAGTCGGCGGACATGTCTGCCCCTGACAGCAATGATCGTCTCATTATGATTGCGTCTTGCAGCAGCCTATGATCAAACAGCATTCGGATAGGGCACTGAAGTACCTGGCCAGGGGCGGGTGATTGCCACCCACTGCACATGTTTAAAGTTTTGATCCGCCATCGTTCGAACCAAAGAGTGCAGGCGATCCTGATTGAGCGGAAATATGCCCGGGCGCATATGGGGGGCTATAACGAGAATGATATTGCCTCGGTTCTCGTTAAACTTGGACACACCCACCACCAGGAAGAGGAACCCACTGGTTATTCATCAAAACCGAAACCGGGCTCGCCCAATCGACTGTTCTCCTTTGACATTCACACCGCTTCTCAGAGGCCTATCTACTGCATATTAAATTCCGTGAAATTACGGACGTACGCCGTGCCCGACAAGGCCATTTGCAGGAAGGGCTGACGCCTGCGAATAGAAGGATGTTGTCAAGCTGGTCATCTGCTGCAAGATCTTCGCAGGACCTACTATGCGGAGAAGCCTTGGCCCTTTCTGGGGAAGGCTTTGTGATCTTTCGCCCAGACATTTCGTGACGTGTCGTGGTGGATCTCTTACCATGGCATCGTTATAGCCCCGATATGGGGGTTTGATATACCCCCCTCATTACGCCAAAGGGCCTCTTCCCTCCCAGCAAAAGCCTGCATCGACGACCCTTCTCTGCACATGTATGTACATACAGTACTCCAAAAGTGGCAAGACTGCGCAGGTTGGCATCGCCAAATTAGTCGATACGTCAGGTTACTATCTGGGATCCAGAAGAAGCAGCCTTGGGCAGATCTTTGCTGGAAAAGGAGCTCGGCCTCTTTCCACATGTGGTCCTGTTTGCAGCAAGGTCGACACCACCTTTGCTACTTTTGCAACCCCAATTATTCCGCTTCCTACGATGCGCAATCTAGCATACCAGATGCGCCAGAGCCACCTGGAGCCGAGCGGAGCGCGTCTGGAAAAAAATATGGCGTCGTCCTCCTACACGGGACGTCCCACCATATCTGGGCAGTGGCACAATAGGTAGGCCTTGTGACATGTATGACATACATGCCGAAGCAGCGTGCAATATGCCTGAGACAATGCCAGGGTTTTTTCGCCTCGAGTCTGCGGAATACGTAATGGCGCCGGATTGGCCACTTCCACACAAAGGAGAAAAACCAGCCAGATGGGATTGTACCTCAAGTATCGCAAAAGGAAAGAAAGGTCTTTCGCTAAAGTACTCCCCCCTGGCCGGAGAAGCTTGCGAGGAACAATCATTGGATGGGGCCGATGGGCCCTGTCAAGGTATATTTGGTTAAATGTCCCGATTGGCTCCGTCATTCATATGCGACGGCAGCAGGCGAGTCGGGGGCTGACCGCATATGTCGCTTAAGTCCCTTGTATTCCTTGTGACTCTCGCCTCAGGAGGGAGGCAGGTCGACGCACAGGCAAGACAGATGTGGAAAAAAAGAAAGAGCGAAAAAGGAAGGTCTGAACGAAAAGGTCTGCGCAGTAGGCAGTAGGTACAGAATGGCCCCAAAGCATCGCAAATCCAGCCAGCAGTGTAGTCGGAAATTTGACATCAATAGTTACGTGACATCGCGCGCCAAGCAGCCGACAATAAAACGAGGAAAAAAGACATGGAATCCCATGCCCCCCACAAAGATCGGCGCCGTGAGCTGTCAGATTTCGGATACTCGTTCAGGAGCCTCCCGGGGGTCTGTCTGTCTTCCCCGACCACACGATTTATTTACCAGGGCCAGGGAGGAGCTATGGCCGCCCCTCGACGGAAGCTTCGATTGCTGGGACGATCCCCGAATGTCGGGCGTCCCGGGGATTTTCTTGTACCGGCATGAGGACCCTCTGCCTGCCTGCCTGCCTGCCTGCCTGCCTGCGTCAGAAATTTGCACGTTGCGATCTAGGCTGGGGTTGGTTAGAGACGTTGATGCTCCTTCCCTGCGAGGTGAGTATGGCTCCATCGTTCGATTGGAGCGAGGCCTAGACTCAACTCGGCGCTTTTCTCTGCGCCGCCGTTTCTATCATTGCTTTTTTTTTTCAGCCCTTTGTCGGGGAAAAAGAGGAGGCTTATCTGAATACGCGGGCAGACCGTTGGGCTATCCGTTGGTTTGGTTGGCTACAACCTTCAATCCTCTCGACTCTGTGGTGCGCTGCCCCTTGTCTTTCCAACCCCAATGTCTTGTGTGTGGGATTTCTGACACGTCTTTTTTTTTTTTTCTTCCCTCTGAGAGCAAATCTTTCTGGCTGCCTCCCGCTTTGGGACGACTTGCCTGGCCAATCAGACGACGATGGTTTGTTTCTATTGGATCAAGAATTGCCTCGATCCTGCGGGGGAGAGACATGCACACAGAGACCCCAAACATCAAGAAGGGCAGCCAGTAAGTCACCCTGAGTAGAGACGCGCTGCGTACCCGATATGATATATCGTGTGCACCCTGCTCGTCAACGGCAGGTGGTGGCACTGATGTTATTAGTGACTACCTATGCAGGAAAAATATCTATCAAGTGCGTATGCTAAACCGACCAGACCTCCTCCCCACCAACGAAGCTTGCGCAGGTACGTTACAGTTTGAGACAGCTAGGAAATAAAGTTGTGCGAGGAAAGAGAGTAGCAATGAATTCTAAACAACAAGGATAAGATTAAGGAACAGCGGAGATGGTGTCGTCCTGCCAGGAACATGACAGAGAGGTGGGGAAGCCAATTAAGAGGGAGGTATCGTGGAAGTGCCGGTGCCTGTGGGTGTGTTGATATAAATTATGCCGCCGTTCCCCAGCCAGTCTCGTGTTTTTTCGTGTGCGCGTGTGCGTTTGTGTTTGCGTTTGCGCCTCCCCCCCAGACGCCGTGTAAATTCCCCTTCGTTTCCCATTCCCCCGTCTCCCAGGACGGGTCCCAAGCAAGGTTATCGAAGCAACCTGACCAGCCTCCTCTTTCTTTTCCCCCCTCCCTTTCCCTTCTGCCCGGGCCCCTTGGGTGGCCGGCTGGCCGCCCATCCGCGCTCAGCCGCTCTCTCGTCGTAGCGGACCTGGCCACATATCCAGTGGCCGGCTCCTATACCCGTTCGCCAGGGAGAAAATAAAAGAGGTCATAGTTCGTCACCCGGGTTTGTAACCAAAAAGAAACATCCATCATGTATATCAATCACCCTTGGTGCCCCCTTATCTATATCGTCAGACATGAGGAAACAAAAGGACAGTGAAAAGCCCTGGGGAAAGCCGTCATTAGGCGGTGTTCTGGGGTATCTCTAGTATTAACCCGCCAATTCCCAAAAGGAAGCCCCCTAAAACGATGTGTGCAGAATGCCGAAGCGTCGAATTCAGACAAGAATAATGGTAAACAAGCCACCCAAAACTCGTTGCGAAGGGGGGATATAAGGCGCAATGAGCCAAATGGCCCTTCCACCTGTCCCTTCGAAAAGGCATCTGCTAGCAACCGTGCGCCTCGCTGGAGAAGAGAATAGAAGAATGTACGTGAGAACTTGAAGTAACGAGTCAAGTGTGGGTCGTCGAGAGGGAGCAAAAGACGGGCAACAGGGGGAGGAGAAGATGGTCCTCGGTGCCGTAGTTTGTGTGTTTTGCGGTAGTGCGTCGTTGTTGCTTCTTTCTGAGGCTGCCGAGCTTCCGATGTGTGCACTCGTGCCGGAAGGGCGAAAAGGCGATATGGGTGCCGCTTTCTGAACCATGTCGTCGACGCCTGCCGTTGCAACGCCTCTCTCATCCCGCAAGCTCCTTATTGGAGTTGCGAGGGGTATAAGGTGGCGTCCCCGGGCCTAGGAGTCGAAACCCCTGGCGGGGACATTGATTGCTATAAGTTTTGACCAAGCAACTCCGACGCCCTCTCTCGACAAGCGGCGGGCGTAAACCCTGTGCCCACCTTGTTCGCCACGATACGCCATTTCTCGTTCTCGTAGTCTTGGAGCGCTGTGCGAAGCTTTTGATCCTGAGCATCTCCAATGTCAGCGAAATCGAACCAACTGTAGTTGTACCATGTGCCTTCTTGGTAGGAAACCAAAGTGCGCCGGTCTGGATCCCACTCACCGTCTCATCGGTCCACTGAGTGGTCTTGGCCTTGAGTTTTGTACAATAGCGTACTTGAAGCGTCCCGCTAGATCGTCCAGGGAAAAAGTCGGCGATTTGCTTCCACGTGAGACTCTTGTTCTCCTTCAGGTCGATGAGTAGCTGATCGTCCTCGGGTGTAAATTTCAGCTTTGGGCCTCTTGGTCGGGGAGCAGGAGGGGGCATTCCTGCCTGCCCAACGACACTGGGCGCGCCCCCTCCACTGCCTCCATCCCCTTCCCGTCGCATTAGCTTGTTTGGAGGGCCTGTGTCTGGAAGTCGATGGTGGTGATGGGTGGGAGGGGCCGTAGCGGCTTGCGCATACGCCGCGCCCATTGGTGTCTGCTGCATAGATTCGAGGTCGCTCTCTTGAAGGTCTGGCATGCCGGGAACAGATAGATCGAGCTCGTCTGGGCGCGGCCGCTTTACCCCTGCCGAGGCGCCGTGGGAGGGGGCTAAAGACGGATACAAGGGAGTAACAACATTGTGGGGAGAAGGGCCAGGAGCGGCGTAGTGCGGAGGCCCCGGATGGCCCATGTGCCGCGCTCCGGGAAGCCCGGCCATGTGCGAGGGGTCCATCAACACCTGGTGCTGATGGTGCGCGCCAGGGTGATGCTGCTGCAGGCCGTGATGGGTCGGCTGCTGGTGGTGATGGTCCGGCGGATCATGGAGAGCCCCGGGCCCGGCATGTCCGAGCGAGGCCCGGTGGTGATGCCCGCCATACGGGTGCTGAGGCTGGCTCTGGTCGCCCGGATGCGATTCCTGTGGTGAGTAATCGACATTGTAGTCCGGTCCTACTCGGTAATTGCCCGCCAGCGTGCCTCCAATACATGGGTTCCGCCAGAGCGAACCGCTCTGGCTGGTCGCCGGGTTCTGTATGGAAAGAATTTGTCAGATGGGGCCCCCGCGGGGCTGCGTCGGGAGTAGGGTGCGGTGGTATGCAAGGGCGTTGACCGTCTCAGACGTAGTCCGCCACCCCGAGGGCAAGGCGCCGTGAGACTATGAGGAGGAAGGGGTGCTATTGCTTGTTGGGCAGCAGAGCACATGTGTTTTCGAGGGGCGACGATATCTGATACTGGCGATGGTGGCAGAATGCTGCTCGGCAGTGAGAGTTGATGGATGGTTCCTCCCCTCCCGACTACGGGCGGCGTCGTTTGGGTGTCCCGCAATGGTGGGCGAGCGATGACACAACCTGGTGGACCCTTCCTTCAACAGCTGGGCATGACTGGCGAAATTGTGAGGCTGGTATGGCGTTGAGAATCTCGTTTCCTTGTCTGAGCTTTCCAGTATGGGCTGGATTTTTCACTTTTCTATATGGGTACAGAGTAGGATTCAAGGAACAGGATAGCGCAGTGTGGGCAGGGGACGCATTATATCGTCTGATCTTCGTTATCGTGACATAAGCGTTTTGCCCATGTGCGAAACGACATTCTTAAGCAGGTACAGGGAGCCAAGTTACCTTGCCCAACGACGGCGGTAGCATAATTTGAGGATCTTATGCCATGGTCTGTCTGGCTGCCGGATATAGGAACACGACCCTGGCATGGACTAATGATGCAACAACGGGGGCCGGGGGGGATGACAGCAGGTTGACAGACACCCAAATAAATTAGCGAAATCGAGAGACCCCGGACGGCTAACCTAAAGAGGAGACTTGGGACTCCGGTTGATCTAAAGGGACTGAGGTGTCTGGGAAACGCAGAAGAACACAAAACGACAGGCTGGATGGTGAATAAATTATGAAACATGGGCTACCATGCAGTTGGAGAGCAGCATGACCATCGAATAATGGAGCCTGCATGTATTATGATCGCAACGACAGCTTGCCTCGCCAGCAAAGCCGGTATTGGGTAGGAATCAAGGAGCGTTCCGCTGTGAGCAATCTGTGCCCCCCCCAGGAAGCCAGGAAGAGAACATGGGGAGGGGGGAGTGAGTCGAGTGACATGAGACAGGGGAGGTACAACACGGTACTTGGTTTGTGTGCATGGTGCTGAATGCCGTGGCTGGCAAGTGGAGAAGATTTTGGGTGGGTGATGGAGCTTTTCCCCTTCTGAAGGAGGGTATAATGCGACTGGGGTGGGTTATATTACCCAGACAAGGAAAGGAGGTTGAGTGTGTACGTACTCCCCTACGGCGTGTGGTTGAGCACTACTCAGTAGCAGCCACAGAATTAGTTACCAGATTGCCGAACAGGCGAGGGGTAGGGGGATCCCGGAACCAAGGGGAGAGAGCAAGGTCAGGTACTCGACAGAAGCCAGGCGGACGGACGTTTTCAGCCGCGAAGGCCAAGCACCACGTTGGTACAGTACTTTTAGTATTGCTTAGACGCGAAACGGCTAGCGTGGCGCGTTTGGGCAGCCCATAGACGTGGAGGGTTGGAATGACCTCGCATAGGTTCTGCGAAGGGAGCACTTGTCCTGGCCATGGAAGGAGGTGACGAGCTGCGAAAGGCCCAACGCCGAGGTATCCAGCCGTGAGACAAGATTGCAATGCCCGGGCCCTGGATATTGCTTCTCTCGCTGCCGAAGTTGGTCGCCCACTTCCGGAGGCGCCGAGGAGGGCCCTGCCAATGGATTGCGAGATAGCCACGCCTGTTCCCATGGGGAGTCTGTGTGCTCGAAGTACAGCCTGAGTAGCAAACCTGGAGAAGGGTTCAGAGGGGGTCATTCTTCCAGGCTGACATCCCGTCCGTTCCATCATCAAGGCTACCAGAGGCCCACCGGTTCCGGGTCGTTGGTCTGGCTGGCCGTGGCGCAGGGTGGACTGCGAACTCTAATCTCGGGGACTCCAAGATTGCGTTCAATGCTGTTCAGGCACGCCATGACCTGACTGGGCTGAGTCTGGAGAAGCTGCACTTGAGCATGATAGGTAGCGTGCAAGTGAAGAATTGGTGGGTCATCCGGGCCATCTGACTGGCTGAGATGATGCGGCGAGGGGGCTTTTTGGCGGGTTGGAGAAGCAGTAGGGGGGGGGGGAGGGCATGGCGTGGTGGAGGCTGATCCAGGATTCGCATGAAAGAAACGCGTTTCATTAAACCTTGCAATTAAAGGACGTCTTATGCTGCCACCAAAAGACAAAATTAAACCTGATTTCGCGCATTTTTCTAGAAGCGTGGAACTTGCTTCTAGCGCCCGACCGGTCGCTCCAGCAGATTGGATAAGGGCTTCCCTGTCATCTATCCATGTTGACCGGAATGAATTTCCCAGTTGCACGGGCTCTCCTACTAGGGGCTGAGCCATACAGGGAGTCAAGGACACTGTTTGACGTGGGGCCACTGACGCGGCGAGAAGGGGGATATTGGGGCGCAAGGGAATATCAGTGGAGAGCAACTCGCAAACGCACCGACGATGGGTTCGAGCGATCGAGAAGGATGAGGGCAGAAGGAAAGAGGAGGATCGGCCGGAATTTGAGAGAAAAGTGCAATGGCGGCCAATTCCGGCGGCTGATGGGGGAAGACGCAGTACATTCACGTCTCCATCCGACGACTTCAACAAGGGCAGGAACTATCCACCAGGGGGGTTAGGTAGGCAATTGCCCTGCTCAATTTCCATCTCCGATCGCCTCTTTCCCCGGTGAACAGGCCAAAAATAGCAATTCTCCATCTTCCAGGTTCCCCCGACTCCTCACCATGGGACGAAGTCACTTTGACCATCATCTGCAGTTCGGCCCCAACTGTTGTCCCTTCCAGGTCCCCATCCCTATCTTCCCTACCTACCCGTATGCATAATGGGCGGGTTAACAAAATCATCGACACGTTGTTTCCCCCCTCTCCAGCCTGAGAAACTGGGCCACAATTTGGGGGGGCGTGCGGTAAGGCGTGCGGCGTGCGGCGTGCGGCGTTGCTTATTAGGTTGGTGATGCAACGCTTTCGAATTCGGCCCATCTCCCGAGACTCCTGATCAGCGTTTGAGCTCAGGGCCCCTTGCGATGGAATGCCCCAATGAAGTAAGCTCGCTCAAGATCTTGACTCCAACCATAATTAACAATTGTCACATTTAATTTTCGCCTCGGATTGTGTGTGTCAGCCCTAACACACGTCCCGGCGATGTCTTGGGCCGAACCGTTGGATACTGTACTTAGTATGTTATCAACAACCCTTGGGGTCCCCCATCTGTCAGACTTTCCCAAGTCGCCGGTCGGATCCGATGGTCTGACAGCGTCCTACAACTGTTCGGAAGCTTGTCTGAGTCTCCTTCGTCCAAATTTGATCGCCGTCCTGGGCTGCTAAAAGGGTTGCACGACTCCATGATCGCCGCCCGCCCTTGCAGAAAAGTTCGAATAAGCCACCTCCCGACAACTCGGACACGAGCCCAGGCCGGCAGCCACAACTTGTCCTGCCCCAATTGCCCTGCCCAAGCCTCCAACTCTCATTGGCCTCCGTTGATTCTCTGTTTAAGACGCATAGGATAGTTTCCAGCGGTGCTCTAATCCATCCTTGCCTGACCAAGTCCCAACCCCTATCTTTCTCTCCTTTTTGGATGCGAACACCCTTTACTACGACGAGATCTCCTTCGGCTTACACAAGGCTGACAGCTCTTTGGCACCTAGTGCATGAATGCATTGAGCGCAATTTCAGACGATCATCGTCACCAACCGCTGATTCATCTTATTACTCGCTCCTCCCTTAGCACTACCGTCGTCCCATCTTGTCTAATCCCCATGGACTGCAAACACCTCGGTTCGATGGTATCCCGCAAGAAATCCTCCGATCAAATGCAATCCCCTCTCTCCCTTGGCTCTGGTTCCACCTCGCTGGTGGTCCCGTGTGTGATCTCTCTCGTCCCGCACAGGCTGCATGCAAGTTTCCAAACGCCCGCCCGCGCTTGCATGGCGGCCAAATAGGGGGATTCTTGCGATCTCGCTTCGCAGTGTGGGAACAAACGTTGAATAGTGTGAGGCGTAGGGTATGGGAGAGCTTCTCTAAGAAAAGTAAATAGATTTGACCTACCGTAGTGCATGATTACAGTCCTTGATCGACTTCATCCCGAGTTGGCCGATGTCGTGCAAACCTGGAAGCGTCATCCAGCATCGCAACTGATTACAAACACAGCTAGGCTGCCTGGACTCGTTCGATGACACATGGGATTAAACACTTATTTGGCCTACTAAGAAACAGAAAGACGTCACCTGTCTGACCCGAATGACCCTCATCCTTTGCACTATTGTTACACTCGGCACTTTTTGCTAAAAGGTACACCATATCGGCCCGGCCTCATCTGCGGAACGCCCAGAGCCAAGCGCAAATCGCAAATCGCACATGGCAGCCAAAAACAGTAACGACTACTCTGTGTCAAGCCAGCGAAGCAATTTCTGAGTTAAGCTTGGGGAGCAGATCAAGCAGTCTGGACCGGCACCCCACAACCCCCCCCCCCCCCGCCCCCCCTTTCCTCTGCCCCTTGCCCACGCGACTGCCACGCGATGACAACCGTCCCTCTCCCACCCCTGGATCGCATTGTTCCGCGGAAAGAGCCCCATCGATGTTTCTTTCCAATGTTTTTTGCCGGCCCAATATGGGCTCGTGCTTCAAACACACATTTCTCCCTTCCCTGCCCTGGACGCCCTCCTGCAATTCCTTCCATGTGCGTTCGTCTATGCAAAGGTATCCTCCCTGTCCACCCATATGTCTTCCAGCTCGGCAAAGTTGACAAAGTGGACCGGCCGATGCTGGCCGCTGTAGAAGGGCATGGGCGTGTCGAGCTTGACGTGGACCGGCTTCTTCTCCAGGCCGCCAAACGCGCTGCCCATGAAGCTGTAGTTCCAGTTGCCCGTGTCCGGCACCAGGAAGAAGCCCTTGTACCGCGGGCTCAGGAGCAGCTTGCGCTTCTCGCCCATGCTCGTCGTGAAGCCCTGCGGCTGGTCGCTGCCCAGGTCCTTGTTCTCCGCGCCCCACTTGTAGCCCTGCGGTGTGAGCGCCCAGGCGGACAGCGAGACGCTGCCCGGAGTGAATGAGACGGTGACGGTGAGGGTGTTTCGCTTGTCCCACCCGGGATGGGCATCGAGGAGCCTGGCATGGCTCGTGACGTCCATGGCCGACATGTACGGGAGCTCGTTGCCAGACATGGTGTGGATCACGCCCAGCGGCTCCATGTCCTTGAGGTATTCATGCTGCGGAAGCTGGTGAGGGAGCTGCACGCTGCGGAGACCCCCGATCTGGGGCACCATGACGATGCACCTGATCTCCTTGACCTGGTCGTTGTCCGGAGGCGACGACCCGTAGAGATACCCGGCCACCTGGACCCGGAGGTCGGCGATGGTGATGAACCGCTTGAGGATGTTGTTCGGCATCACGTACGTAACGTCATCCAGGTCGCTGTCCACGGGCGAGACGTAGATGTTGTTGGACCTCGTCCGCAGGTTCGACGTCGCGATCGCCCGGGTGCGCCACTCCGTCTTGGACGCGAAGGTCTGTTGCTCAAACTGCGACGTCGTCGTGACGATGATCTCCTCGCCGTGCACGTTCTGCGTCTTGGTGGTGACAGCCGTGAGCTGCTGCTGTTCTTGCTGCTGCTTCTCGATCTCCGCCGCCTGTTGCCTCTGCATGGACGGCGCCGAAATCTCCATACCCAGGATGATGTCGCGGACTTCGCTACTGGTCAAGCTCGACACGTTGACGTTGTTCTTTTTCCCGTAGTCGTTGAGGATGAGATCTCGGAGTTGCGTCTCAACCTTGATCCAGTCCTCGTCCGAGAGAGACGGCCAGATGTGGTGATCCTGCGTGATGACTGACTTGTCTGGACGCAGGATAAGTTTTGTCTTGTCCTGGTTGACGTGCAAGGCTCTGAGGATCAGGATCAGGCGAGAGAAGGCGGTGTAGGAGGAGATGCTCTTCAACCACTCGTCGTACAGGTTGAAGAGAACCATCTGCGGCTCCGTCGCTCGAAGGATCATATCGCCGAGCTTTTCCACTTTCATGGCAGCCTGGAAGGGAAGCTGCAGTTCCGAGGCGCGGATGGAAATGTTGGGGAAATCGAGCAGGTTCACCTCCAAGGGATCCAGCAAGCCCTTGCGAGTCACGATGAGCTGCTTGGGCTGCTCCTCGACGGGCAGAGACCTGATCAGGGCCGCGACTTCTTCAGCTGTCTTCCATTTTGCAAGCTGACCCAGACGCTTCTGTCCGGCCCAGACGCTGGTGTGAATGATCTTCAGGAATAGTTGACCGGTCCTAGGATTGAAGATGAAAATGGCTCCGTTGATGGGCTTCGTCGTCAGATTGCCTTCGAAGGTCTTGTGGATGGTGACCCGGTAGACGTTGGTGTCGTCGATGAAGAGCTGGGTCTGGTTGCTGAAGAGCTCCGAATAGTTCTGAGAGTTCAGGAACTCCTGGTTGCTCTCGGATGCATAGAGCTGCAGGCCCTTGCGGATACGCTCACGAAGGACGTACAGCGCGGGGTTGGCTTTCATGACCTTCGCCATGGCCTGCTGAACGAGCATCTTCAGGCCTGGGAAGTACTGACCGTAGGCAGAGTAGAGGTTGTACGCGAGATCAATGCCGATCATGAGACCTGTGGCTGACGGGTACAGACTCATGCTGTCGGTGGTGTAGTCGAGATACTTCGCCCGCACGTATCTCTCGATGTCGTGCGAATCGTAGTCTCCATACCGCAGCTGGACATCGATCCAGAACTTGTTGGTCGTTGTCGATTCGATGACGTCCTTGGTGTCGAAGAGGAGAGATGGCCGGGTGACATTCCACTTCTGGCTGGCAAACAGCTGGATGTCCGCACAGGAGCTGTTCATCTTGTACGACTTTCTGGGATGGATGGTCTCCTTTTGCACCGCCTCGATACCGAGGGCTTCCAGTTCTTGATCGAAGACCTGGCACAGATCCATTACCACCGACTCGTGGATCTTCTGCCACAGATGGGCTCGGAAGATCTGGATCAAGGAGATCTTGAGAGTTGGGATCTTGCCGTGCAAGAAGATACCCGTGAGGTCCAGCTGGACTTGGAAACCGACGTAGACGTTGGCTCGGTTGATGGTGGGCGACCACCAGAGCGTGAAGCGACGGTTTGGAATCTGGTTCAGACCGGATCGCTGGGCGTTTGTCAACTTCTTGAACTTCATCGACTCCTCGAAACCACTGTTGTGCAGCACAAGATAGTCATGTCGCAGGTAGAGTTGGTCTTGATCAACTCGGAAGCCGGCCCACTCTGTCGCCTCGGATTCGAGACGGATATCTTTGACGAGGAAGCTTTGAACTTGAGCAACAAGATCGGGGTTGCGCTGGAACGCTCGGTAACGTCCCCTTTCCTTGGCATCAACGGCAGCGAATTCGTCGGCGGTCATGAGCACAGTATCATAGCGCTCCGCTGCCAAATCTTCGGACAGATCCTCTTGATCGCCTAGCCGGTCCTCGAAGCCCTTCTTCAGCTGGTGAAGAACCAGAATATGGTTTGGCGTGACTACGAGATCTTCCTTGCCTGCGCCAATCTCGATTCGATAGAGACGATCTTGACCACTGACGATGTTGAAAGCGCGACGAGGCCCACCGTCAGGCCCGAGGAGTAGATCTCCTTCTTTGACATCCTCGACGGCAATCTTAGTACCATCGTGCCGCAGCAGCTGTGTTCCCTTGGCAAGGCACGCCTTCTCCCAGAAGAGACCCTCCCAGGACGGGAAGCCAGTCGCCTTGAACAGAGTGTGCTCGAGAATAGTCTCAACACCGCCCAGCGCCTGGATGACGTCCGTCCGATAGGCATTCAGGTTCCAGAGCTTGCCGTCGTGGCGCTGGCTCGTCCACCAGAACGGATTGCTCTTCATCAGTTGATAGATCTTGAACTCGGCCCGGGCACGGAAACCCTTGTCGAAGCTCAGAGTGCTTCGGTCTTTCTGGAACAGCGTGTTGATGCGTGGCAACCCGCGATCCCAGCTGTCCTCGAGGTCCTCCAAGGTAAGCCTCCGATTCTGCTGATTCGCCTCCAACCGCTTCTGGGAATACTCTGTCCAGACTCTCTGCGAGTCGATGAACTCGGCCTCCCATGGGATGATGTAACGGAAGATGTTCGGGATCAGCGTGTCCTCGTCATGAGACATGCCCGCGCGGTAGTGAGTGACTCCGACATCCGTCTGCTGCGACCAACGCTTGTCGCTGGTCGGGATCAAGATGTGAGAGCCAGAGATCATGCCCAGACCGCCAAGTTCCTTGGGCGTGTAGAACACGGCCGGCGGGAAACGTGAGGGCATCTTGGAGTTCAGACCAATCTTGACACGGGTCTGGATCTTGGTCTCGCATTTGACGATGGTGTCTAGGAGGTTGACGGTGGACACGGCAGCCTCACGGTAATAAGTGAATAGAGAGATCAGGGCCGTGTTCCACTTGTTGGCGATCTTGGTGAAGGTCGTCGACCCGGAGGACATGAGGATCTGGCGGATACGGTTGTTGAACTTCTGGATATCCTCCTCCGTCACCTGCAGGAAGGCGTGCGCAGTTCGTTCCTTGCTAGTGTTGTCCACCAACGACCACACGCTATCCTTGACCGGGAACTCGTCGTTAGCGTTCCGGATCTTGGGAAGTATGCGGACTTCAAAGCCGCACATGGCGAAGAGAAGATTCGGGTTGTCCCTGCTGTAGACACTCGCAAATGTGTCGTCCCACTCGACGGTGGTGACGGACCTGGGCAGGCGATTCTTCAAGTCCCAGAATACAGCTCTGCCAAGGTTGACATCGTGTCTCATGAGACGCATGCGTGAATCCCTCGGCCAGCACTTCTTGCTCTTGTATCCGATGACGTTCTCAAAGTTGGGATCGGGCTGTTCCGTGAGGAAGCGCTGGATGAGATCGCGGGACTCGTCGGCGGTGAACCTCAGGAAGACCCAGATTCTGTCGATATATCTGGTGTAAAGCCGGATCGGGTGCTTTGTCTCTGTCTCCCGGTCTCGGAACTGGAGGAAGTCGTTCGGGCTCTGAGGAGGACCGGCAATCTCGCTGGCACGCTGGGGCCCAAGAAGGAGGAGGTCCAAGATGAGGCCATAGTACTGGAACACGAAGGCTGAGAACTGCAGGCCGCGAATCATGCCGTAGCTGTTGACGTGGCTCATGTCCTTGTAGGTAAGCGTGACGTTGTTCTTGGCAGTGATGTAGTCAGCGAGATTGTGATCCATGATCAGTCTCAGCAGGGAGTTGAGCAGAGTCAGCTCGATCTTCTCGTAGACCTTCGATAGCTGGGTCTCGATCATGACGTTGCACTCGCCGTTTGCCGTCTCCCAGACCCTGTCGAGGTTGTTGATGCCCTGGGCCCACTTGTAAACCAGGAGCGGCGGCACTTCGGAATCTGATGGCTTGATCCAGGCGGGGAAGAGATGGCGCTGGTCGGCCTGGTACCACAGATACTGATCGAGATAAGCGTCGCTGATCTTCTCAATGGGCTCGATGTCGTAGACGGGGTTGATCGTGCTGTAGTTGTCGTTCATGTCGATGCCGACCTCCTTGAAGGCTCGCTGGGTCAGGAGGAAGCGCTTGATCCGCTCCAATGTGGTTCCAGGGCTGTCATAGGCTTGCTCGATGAGGGCCAACTCTTCTCGCTGGCTCTGATTTAACCTGGCCTTGGTGGAATACGACTCGCGCAACCGCTCCAAAGCAAGGATGAGGATCTTGGTGTCGTGCTTGTAGGATACGCTGGGGAATGGGATGGGCGAGAACTTCCTCGACTCCAACCAATGAACCGTGGTGGTATAGATGGCCACGGCCTCCTCCGACGAGACGTACGGTCCGTCTTTCATATGGTTGTGCTGTCTCTCCTGTTCGGCCTTCAGCCATAGGCGCGTCAGTCGTCCGACATTCTTCTTGGCCACTGTCTTGTCGACTGTCGCTCCCCTTCGAATACGCTCTCGGTTGTAGTGAGCGACCGAGATCCACCAGTCTGCCTTGGACTTGACGTATCGCAGAATGATATTCTCGATAGCGGCAGGTAGGCCGGGGACCTTCCAGGGGATATTGCTCTTCCAGCATCTCCACGCCTCGGACAGGTGCTGAAGAACGGTGTTGACCTTGTTCTGTTTGATACCTTCCGGCATCATGTCCATCAGGTCGGCCATAACCGACGCACGCAGCTCGAGGTCGAAATGCGACTCGACTCGCTGCTTGGTGACTGTCTTCGCAACTCCTTTGCTGTGGCGGCCTTCGAACTGCCGCGAGAGCAGATTGCCGAGCCAGCGCTCCAGGAGGGGAATGATGCCTCGCATGAAGAAAAGCCAGACTCTCCAGGCAGGTGCCCAGAAGCCACACCCGGGTCCTTTGCCGACAGGGCCAGCATTGAAACGGTAGTAGATCAGATGCTTGAGGTCCTTGCACGACCGAATTTGATGCATCAGCTTGTACTTGTATCGGTACATGCCGGTGAGCTGGCCGACATGGTTAAACGCGTACAAGATACCGTCGGCAAGCTGGAAGGCGTCGATGTTGCCCAGCCTGTATTGGACCTGGGCATCAACGATGAGCTTCGTCATCCGCAAGATCTCCCGCATGAGATGGAAAGCATTCCCGAATCGTGACTTCTTTCGCTCCTTCGTCGTGAGAGTCTTAACAGGCTTCAGGTTGAAGTTGTAGTCGAGGTGGAGATATGTCAAGTTCTTGCGGTGGATCAGGAGGTTGAGCATGTTGAAACCCTGCCGGCAAACTTGCAGACCTGCTTCAACCCAGTCGATGGTGGTCTGCTGGAAGAACTTGGTCTGCTTCAGTGTGCTGAGTAGGTTTTGTCTCTGGAGAGCCTTCGGCTTCTTCTTATGAAGTTCGTTCAAGACGTAGGTCTTGAGCAGTTTCTGGTAGGATACTCGGACCTTGACCGCCTGCTTCGGTGGGCAGTGCTCAAGATACCACTGCTTCACAAGAGGGACATCTTGAGCCCGAACCATGGCTCCCGACCGGCGGTCGAATGGGAAAGGGGCCCACCAAAGCTCGATAGCAGACGCCGTGTCCTCGGTGGCTAGTTCTTCATCGGCGAGGAAAGGCTCGACTGCAGCCGGCAGTTCAAATGCCTCGTCCTCTGGCTCCTCATTGCTATCTTTGCCGAAGAGCTCGTCCTCGTGGCTGATGGTGGCGATTTTAGGTGCGACGGCTCGAGACGAAATGGGGTTGATGCTCGGGTCGAAGTGGAAGGCAGGGAGGTTGGGGTCCTCAGTCCGGACATAGGCAATCTGAGGGTACGAATGCCACGACAGCTGCACACTTCTGGGCAGGGAGTTGTACAGGTAAGGGTACGCGACCCTGCATTCCGTGCGGATTGGATTCCGGAAGATAATACGGTCGATGGCATTGAACTCGCCGAAATCTTCATCGTTGGGGTCGATGTCCTTGTATAGAGGTTCGAAGCGGGGGCCGCCCGGCAGAGCGACGTTCAGCGCCTTGGCGGTGAGGAAACTCTTCAAGTCGAATAGGTAGAAGTAGTTTTGGTCGACTACCTCGGAAATGAGGGGACGGCTCAACCGGTAGAGCGCGGCCATCTGCGGTAGAGACATATTCCACCTCTTGTAGCTCGGGCCGTTGACATGGCTCGTGTCGACAAGGGGTCGGTGGTCGTAGAACCACTCGAAAACGGCCGCATCTTCATCCTCATCAAGCTCCATCTGAATGGGCTCCAGAGGCTCAACATCCTCGATGTTTTCGGACCAGGAAAGAGGCGGCTCCTCGTCGTCAAACGGAGGGAATCTCATACGCTTGAACAATCGCCGGTCGCTCTTTTCCTTACGCATGATGGTCCACATTGTGGCCCACTGCGCGTAGAAGACGGGCTCTACGACGCGAGGGATCTCGTTGACCAGTGTCAAGCATCCGTTCACGTGGTAGAGCACCTTGACTTCTCTTGCTGCCTCCCACGGCATGGGCATATTCTCCAGGAGCTTCATGACGGCGTGCGGCATAAACTTCAGGGCTCCCAGGTAGCTGCGCTTGTCGTTCGTGTACTTTTTCTGGGAAACGTCGCCAATGTCCTTGACGATCTTGCGGAGATGCTCCGGCGGCATATCTGCCTTTTGCGTCTCGACAAACCCGCCCTTGCGCTTCTCCCCAAATCGATTCCGCTGCGAGCGAAGCCATTCCGTCTTCTTCTGGGCGAACTTGGCAATCTGGGGGTCGGTAGGGGGCCTATATCCCGGCGGAGGAGGCGCTGGGACCGAAGGGGGGGGAGGCAGAGCGGATTGAGACCCGGGAGGCGGAGGTGGAGGAGGAGGTGGTCCCCAGCCCGGCGGCGGGGGAGGTGGAAACGAAGACATGCTGAGTCGACGACGATGGGCTTCACAGAAGAGGCGCCGTCCACCACGGACACCTGGTTGCTCTGGCGCGAGGCCGCGGAATCAGGAAAAAGAAAGGGGGATTGCGTTTATCCGTGTATCGTTCGTATTACGTTGATGGGTATAGATAATCGCCGGTCTCGCAACACCTCATAGCGATGACCTTTCGATTGATGGATGTGGCTTGCGATACCTGAAGCTTGCGTGACGGCTTCACCAGCATTTTTTCCACATAGGACAAGACGCGACAAATCGACGCTAACGCTCAAGGTGGCGGTTATCATCACGTGACTAAATCGTCCCTGCAGCCAAACCTGTACAGATTACTCTGGACAAAGGGAAAAAGGGTAGATCTTATTTAGCATTACAGTATCTTGATCCTCGGCACTGTCCAGATTCCATCTTTTCTACTTAGAGTTGGCTTATGATACCTACCTACCGAGTGTGAGATTCAACAGGGTCGCGAGAGTGAGGCGTCACGAATTTGCCTAGGTTGTCAAAAACTCAAGTGTCTGTCATCTGTTGCCAGCTGCCGCGGGCTACTCACTGTGTTTGGGTTGTTCTTCCGCCACCCGCTACCCGCTACCAAGCCCCCGATTCCCCACCAAAATTCACCAAATTTTAAACTTGAGGATTTCGACCCCTCCGAAGTCATTCAGTTCGCCGACCAAAGCTTGCCCTTCGGCACATCGACTTCGGCAGTCTTTTCACTGCATCGAATCAATATCTGGCCCAACACAGAATCCACTGAGCGCGAATATGTCTCGATTTTTCCGCGCCGGCGACGATAGCTCCTCTGAGAGCAGCTCCGACGAGGAGGAGCTGTACTCTGAGGAGGAGGAAGCAGAGAAGCAGGCCGAGGGAGAGGCATCCGACCAGGAAGGTGAGGAGGAAGATGAGTCTAGCGATGAGTCTAGCGACGACGACGACGACCAGAAGAAGGGCGCTTCCCGATTCTTCGTCGATGTTTCGTCGGAGAGCGAGGAGAGCGATGTCGAGACTACGGTCAAAGTCAAGAGCGCCAAGGACAAGCGGTACGAAGAGCTTGATGCCACCATCACTGCTATCGCCAACGGGCAGAAGAACGGCGATTGGGGCCATATCTCGACTGGTACGTCCCTCTGACTGCGTTATCTTCCTTGGGATCAGGATCATGCTAACAGGATATGCAGAGTTTGACAAGTTAAACCGCCAGGCTGCGAAACTCGCGCCAGACAGCAGCAGTGCGCCCAAGATCTACATTAAGGCCATCGCCGAACTCGAAGACTTTTTGAACGAGACTCTAGCCAAGCAGAAGGTCACTCCCAAGAAAATGAACGCGATCCAGGCTCGCGGGTTGAACGCAGTCAAGCAACGCATCAAGAAGAACAACAAGGAGTATCAGAAACAGATTGATTCCTTCAGGGAGGATAGGGATTCCTTCATGGAGTCTGATGAGGAAGAGGAACCCGCACCGAAACCTAGCAAGGTTCGCTTCCAGGCGGCCGACTTTGGCGAGGCTGCAGAGGAGGATGACGAAGGGTTTGCAACTGTCGGTCGGGGTGGTCGAACGCTGCTGTTCACCCCCGAAAGCATCTTCAAGCACCTCAGGAGCATTCTGGAGTCCCGAGGAAAGAAGAACACGGACCGCCTCGAACAGATCAAGATCATGGAGAAGCTGAACGACGTTGCCGTCACGCCATACCAGCAAATCCGAGTCCTCCTTACCCTCGTCTCCGCACGGTTCGATCTTGGCTCTGGTACTGCAACCTCGATGCCATTGGAACACTGGAAAGCGGCCGAAAAGGAGCTCTATCAACTCATCACGGTATTGGAGAACAACAAGGAATACATTGTCCTCGAGAATGCCGAGGAGTGGGAGGACGACGAAAAGCCCCCCACCCTGGAAAACGGGGAGAAATACATCAAGATTGCCGGCAGCATCGTTTCGTACGTGGAGCGTCTTGACGACGAACTCATCCGATCACTCCAGAACATTGATCCCCATACCTCCGAGTACATCGAGCGGCTGTCGGATGAGGGATCGCTGTACAACATTATCTTCCGAGGCCTCCTTTACTACGAGATGCTTCGGAAGGACCCTGCATTGGACATCCCGCAGGACAGCGTGAATCGCATTATCGCGCGGCGACTAGAGCACGTTTACTTCAAGGTACGCTACCCTCCTATGCAGGCGCTTGCCATTGCTTCGGTCTTCTAACGCTGTCTCTAGCCCGCCCAAGTGATCAACATCCTGGAAGAAAACTGCTGGAAGTCTGTCCCTGCTGATGTTGAGTCATCTATCACCCCTCGCGACAAATCCAAAGATGCCAGTCAACTTGTCAACGTCCTCTGCACCTACCTCTTCGCGAATAGCGAAGGCATCATCCGTGCCCGTGCGATGCTTTGCCAGATTTACTTCTTGGCTCTGCATGACGACTACTACAAGGCGCGAGATATGATGCTCATGTCGCATTTGCAGGAGACTATCAACAGCTTTGATGTCCTGACCCAGATCCTCTACAATCGCACGTTGGTCCAGGTTGGGCTCTGCGCTTTCCGGAAAGGGCTCATCTACGACGCCCAGAACACCTTGCAGGAGATCTGTGGCAGTGGCCGTCAGAAGGAGCTGCTGGCTCAAGGAGTGATGATGCAGAGGTATAGCCAAGTCTCGCCCGAACAGGAACGGTTGGAGAAGCAACGGCAATTGCCCTTCCACATGCACATCAACTTGGAACTGCTTGAGTGTGTCTACCTCACATGCAGCATGCTCCTCGAGATCCCGCTCCTTGCCCAGACTGGCTCATCGCCTGATGTCAAGAAGCGAGTCATCAGCAAAACCTACCGCCGTATGCTAGAGTACCATGAGAGGCAGATCTTCACTGGCCCCCCTGAGAACACTCGTGATCACGTCATGCAAGCCTCGAAGGCTCTCGCGGCTGGCGAGTGGAAGAAGGCGACCAACTTCATCCACAGCATCAAGATCTGGGAACTCATGCCCAACACGGAAGACATCAAGACCCTGCTCGCCAAGCAGATCCAAGAGGAGGGCCTGCGGACGTACCTATTCACATACGCTCCCTTCTACGACACACTCGCTGTCGAGGCCCTGAGCACCATGTTCGAGCTCGAGACGCGCAAGGTTTCCGCCGTGGTCAGCAAGATGATCAGCCACGAGGAACTTGCAGCGGCGCTTGACCAGGTGACGGAGACGGTCATCTTCCGGAAGGGCGTTGAACTCAGCCGCCTCCAGAGCCTGGCATTGACACTCTCTGACAAGGCCAGCTCTCTGATCGAGACGAACGAGCGCACGCTAGAGCACCGCACACAGGGCTCGTCAAACGCCTTCGAAAGGCAGGGCGGAAGAGGAGGTCGCGGTGGGCAGAGGGGTGGACAGCGGGGAGGCAGAGGTGGTGGTGGCCCGAGAGGCGGACACACTCAAAGGCAGGCTGGTGGGACGCAGTTCACTGGGGGTGCCCTGGGTGCCGCTGTCCGAGGCTGAACTCGGCACTGGAGCGTAATACGGTCCTCCTTTCGTTATTGCACTGGGATTGGCTTTAAATGTGGAAAATAAGGAAGGGTCTGGGTGGCTTTACGACTATTACTGTCTCGTGAGAGGCATTATTAAGAGTAGTTAAGAGGCTTTAGAGAATGGTCTTGCCTGATTTTCCATTCGCTGATCTCGTATGAAGTGACATGTTTCCTTGGCTTGATGGTTCACTCTCATCTCTCCAGTGCGTGTATTAGTCTGGGGGTTGGCCACCTATTGCATCTGGATCTCCCATTCCATTATCACAATGAAGCTCGGAAAGAGTGGTCCAAGTAATGATGACTCAAGTTCCGAGGGCGGGAACTTCATTTAGTATTTCATGCAGATAATCTACTGCTGTAGTGTGCCAAAGTATCATGTATCGATGCGAAGGACATGGTGATGAGGCAATGTGCAAGCCAACCGTTCCTCTCGCGAGACGAGACAGGGCACGTGATTGAATTGAAGGTGTCGGTTCAAAAAATTGGTTTATCGAAAGAAGCGGTAAGCAAGGGCACAATCTGAGCCCTAATCCAAGATGTACCTTCGTACCTAAGCGAGCCTCCCGAAATTTCGAACCACCCCCGAAATCTTTAAAGCAGAAATTCTCACGCCCACTTTCTCCTCGGATTTCAAGCACCTCAACAAAGCCCGCCGCCCACCTTTCCGTCGACGACAGCATTCATTCGAAATGGCGCCCCAGGCCTCTTCCACGTATGCTTTTCCAGTTCTACTCCCTTGAACCAGAGCCGACGGTGGATAATTGCACTCGTGTGCCCTAGCTTTCGCAGATTGTCGTGGTCCTCTCGCTGGACAGCTTGTCCGTCAGGACAATGCAGCCAGCTCGATCTTTCCCGCGCCTCTCCCTCATTTTGTAGGTGCCTCCGGGCACTCTGCTTCTTGAGAGATGTGGCGAGGGGTGTTGGAGTTGAAGGGCCTGGCCCTTCTCTCTTAAATACATTGTCTCGTCAGCCGGCCTCGAGTTCTAGGACTCACGTCTTGGAGCTCGTTACCGACCCGAGCATCTTCTCTTGGACTTATGTCCGGGGTGTTGTCGGATGAGGGAACCTGAGACGTGCCAATCCTAGCCATTGGTTGACCAGAATCCTCACCGATCAAATTCTTCAGTTCGAGTTAGCCATCGCAGAATGCCGCACTTGAGCAGCAATTCTCCACCGGCGCTCTACCCATACCGCGGTATGCTGGACTACGTACTAATCTGAGATGCTTGTAGTACTGTCCCGACTCAGGACCAGATTCTCGTCCCCGAGACTCTCCTGAAGAAGCGGAAGAGCCAGGAGAAGGCTCGCGCTGAGAAGTCGGCCGAGATCCAGAAGAAGAAGCAGGTCAGTACCAATATTTCTCTCGCGTAATCTAGGGGGCGATATGATGCATACCAATGCTAGCGACTAGACCATGTCAATGCTGTTGCTTAACTTATACCATCTTTCGGGTCTGATCGGATTTGAACAAACACTTTATTTTGGCTCATCGGCTGTCAACATGTGCTAACTCCTTAGCCAGGCCAACAAGGAGAAGCGCACTGTCATTTTCAAGCGCGCCGAGAAGTATGTGAAGGAGTACCGCGATACCGAGCGTGAGAAGATCAGGCTCGCCCGTGTTGCCAAGCAGGAGGGCTCGTTCTACATTCCTCCCGAGGCCAAGCTCATCTTCCTCATCCGTATCAAGGGGTAAGTGCTACAACCCGGACTGCTCGGCCGAGCTTATTGCTGACATGGTTCCACAGTATCAACAAGATTGCCCCCAAGCCCCGCAAGATCCTGCAGCTCCTCCGTCTGCTCCAGATCAACAACGGTGTCTTCGTCCGCATCACCAAGGCCACGGCCGAGATGATCAAGGTCGTCGAGCCGTGGGTTGCCTACGGTTACCCCAACCTGAAGAGCGTCAAGGAGCTGGTCTACAAGCGTGGCTACGGCAAGGTCAACAAGCAGCGCATTGCCCTGACCGACAACTCCATCATCGAGGAGAACCTTGGCAAGTACGGCATTGTGTGCATGGAGGATCTCATCCACGAGATCTACACCGTCGGCCCCAACTTCAAGCAGGCCTCCAACTTCCTCTGGCCCTTCAAGCTCAGCAACCCCAACGGTGGCTTCCGGGAGAGGAAATTCAAGCACTTCATCGAGGGTGGTGACCTGGGTAACCGGGAGGACAACATCAACGCCTTGATCAGACAGATGAACTAAGTCGGGAAAAAAAGGGGAAACGGAATGGGTTGTTTGTCGTCTCGGTCATTGCGGTTGCATGGATGCTCGGCGTTCTATGAAAAAGCTAGGGTGGCTTTGAAGGGAATGAATTGAAACGGATCTTCTTCTTCACCTGCCTATTGTCAAATGTGACCTAGTCTGTTACAGCAAATTTGCGACACATACATACCATCGCGACACTAGAATCAACGCCAGGTCCATGCATTATGATGTTTCTATCCTGTCTTCTAATAACCTCGAGGCCCTCTTCTGCTTCTACAGTTGTCCCAGTATATAATAATAGCCTCTCATAAACCAAAAGCGGTTCTCCTTGCGACCACTACATCTTGATATCAAAGCTCGTCCCGCAACCACAGCTGCTCGTCGCCAGGGGATTATCCACAATCTTGAACTGCGACCCGATCAGCTCCATGGTGAAGTCAACCTTGCTCCCCTTCAGCAGGTCCAGCGACGGCCCGTCCAGTATGATCTTGGGAGCCTCCAGGGCCTTCTTCTTCTCCCCCTCGGCGTCGTCCCCGGCAAGGTAGGCGAATATAGTATCGTCTTCCCGGATGGCCGCCCCGTCAGAGTCGTCCTCCTCCTCCGCCGCGGCTGTGTCCGAGGAGGAGGAAGGGGGGGCGGAGGGTAGCTCCGGCGGCAGTGTCACCAGGCTCATCAGGTACTGGAAGCCGTGGCAGCCGCCGCTCTCGACCTGGATCCGCAGCGCGAGGTAGGGATTCGAGTCACGACCCATGATGTCGGAGAGGCGCTGGCCCAAACCGAGGTTAGCTTTTTTCGTTCTTTTCCTTGGCCGACTTGCTTGGGCCAAAGGGGGGGGAGGGGATGATTATTTGTCCGTACCTTTGCCGCCCGAGGGGTGATCTCTAGCACCATCTCCTTCCCGTCCTCGTCGTTCTGCGGGTTGTATATAGCTTCCGTCCCCGCCCGCCGCGGTACTGTGGTGCTGAACCCTCGCCGCAGATGCTGCTGCTGTGGCCGCTGTGCCGCGATTATCCGCCTTGCCGCACGTCCCCGCCACCTGTCGCCGCCGCCGAACTGGATATTCCTGAGAGATACAGCGGCGGCGGCAGCGGCGGTGGCGCGGGACGCGGATGCGCCGGCGTGACGGGCCCGACGTGCTGCGGTTGCGGCCGGGAGGAGGAGGTACCCGAGGATCGGGAGCTGCGTCGGGATCATCGCCGGGGCGCTACAGCAGCGCCGGCGGAGGCTGAGCTGGACGAAGAGCTGGGCCGTGGCAGGCGCGTTCGTGCATGTGCGGATCGGCGTCATGGCTTGTGTCGATGTGCCCTGCGCAGGAAATTATGGGTTTGGGGGATCTCGCCAGCAGCAATGGCAATGGCAACGTTGACGACGGTTGGTTCCTGGTGGGTTGTTGGTAATCAAAATTTCCCGAGGATGATGTCAAGTGGGTCGGACCCTGAGGTGTAGCGAGTGAATGGCAGCCGTATTACAGCTGACACCGGCTCGAATTCGGGGCCTAGCTCATTGGTTCGCCCTCCTGTCGTATCATGTCACAACGCACAAAAATTACGAGGAAGGGCACGAGGAAGGGCAAGTTCAGGACATATATTGGGGTCTTTTGTGATGGGATGTCTATCTCAAGCCCATATTTCTGATCCCTTACAGGGAACCAGCCGCATTGAAATCCTCCAAGGCGACGGCCACGCGATCCCTCATGGTCTCCTCTCCTTTCCTTTGGAACGTGTCAGCGGGAGATAAGGGGTCTGCGTATTGGAATTAAGGAGACTTACCTGACCCAGACGCGAGGGTCGTACTTCTTCTTGTTGGGCTTGTCGGCGCCCTCGGGGTTTCCAACTTGGGTCTTGAGGTAGTCGATGTTCCTGTCGCCCAACAGTCAGCACATGGCCACCAACCAAAAGTCGCAAGAGGGACCTACGCAGTCATGTAGTCTCGGATTCCAACAGTGTATGCCCATTGGAGATCCGTGTCAAGGTTGACCTTGATAACGCCAAAGGAGATGGCAGTGCGGAACTCGTCAACCGAAGAGCCAGAGCCACCATGGAAGACAAAGAAGACAGGTTTATCATCCTTGGATCCGAGTTTCTCGCGGACAAAGGCCTGGTGCTTCCCGAGAAGCTCGGGGTGAAGCTTGACGTTGCCTAAGAAGACGACGGATTAGGAGTCATGGCTAACAACCACAGGGGAAATTAAAGGTGGCCTACCCGGCTTGTAGACGCCGTGGACATCTGTTGATACACGTTAGTCGACACATTGCGTAACACTCCTTTGCTTTGGGGCGACATACTTCCGAATCCAGCGGCGATGCTGAAGTAGGGGCTCTCCTTGCTGAGCCTCTCGTAGATGGCCCAGATATCCTCGGGCTGACTGTTTCTGGTCAGAAATTGTCACGTTGGGCAATTCGGAGAAGGATAACTTACGTGTAGAGGGAGTTGTTGTCAACGTCCTCGTTGTTGACTCCCTAAATGCCCTATCAGTCAGCGGGGGACGACGAGGTTAGATAGACAGGGGTAAGCACGCACGTCTTCCTCTCCTCCGGTGATGCCAATCTCCATCTCCAACCATTGCTGTGACGGCAGTTAGCAAGGAATTGCTCTTAGACCGCACCCCGTGTGATTGTCGCAAGATTTACCTTCATAGGAGCGGCGCGCTTGAGGTATTTCGCCGTAGTCTCGATATTCTCCTCCACAGATTCCTCCGAGAGATCAATCATGTGGCTGCTGAATAGTGGGGTACCGTGCTCCTTGAAGAATCGCTCGTCTCTGCCTATTTGTTAGGGCCTATCATGTTTTATTAGAGACCGATGTGGGACTACATACTCATCGAGCATCCTAAAGAAACATGTCAGTCAGATTGTCTAATCAGTCATCTTCTGGAAGGTGACTTACCCGTCGAGCCATGGAAGCAGCTTCTTCGCACAATGGTCGGTATGTAGCACAACGGGAATGCCGTAGTGCGGAGCGACTGAGCTGAAGGGCAGTTAGATAAGAGAACACAGGCGATTTCAGACAATTAGAGGATCATACCGAATGTAGTGCGCAGCAGCAATAGCGCCAGCAACAGATGCCTCCCGCTTTTCAGCGCTATCCTTGATCCCCTTGCCAGCAAAGTAGGCGGCTCCGCCCTGAGAAGTCTGGATGATGATAGGCGACTTCGCATTCCTCGCAGCCTCAAGGGCAGCAGCAGCAGTAGACGAAGAGGTCACGTTGATAGCCGGAAGAGCAAAGCCATGGGCTTTGGCGTACTGGAAGAGCTTCAGGACATCATCGCCATAGATAACACCAGGCTTAAGGTTAAGCTCCTTCAGAAGGCCAGTCATTGTGGGTAATGGGGGTGTGGGTAGTGGTGTGAGGTTGTAAAATCAGCTTTTCGACAGTTGACAGTGATTGAGAGAAGTTGAAGAATCAAGTTCAAAATATCCTCTCAAGTAGATGTTTGCTGAGGGGCCAAGTAATCAGGACGTCATGTTGTGGAGGGGGTTATTAGGTGTTAGCTAATTCCCTCTCTCGGTAGGTGGGGTTGCGGTTTCGGTCGCGGAATTTTCTCGCTAACCCCTCACCCATATGGAATCGCCACCACTCGGACCTTTGCATTGCAGTTCACGCCATTGTGAAGGAAAAGAAACCTAATCAGCCAACCAAAATTGAAATCCCAACCGTTGGCCAACAGAGTGGCCTATCAATGGACAGATAGGGTATTACGCCCAAACTCATCGGGCAACGCCAATGCCAGCATCACCGGGCACAAGCAAGCCCTCAGCTTATTCCGGACTAGGCCTTCGCGGAGCGTCTATCAGATTCCATAGTTGCAGTCCGGTCCGGTCCCAGGGAATTGGTGGCCTACGGGCTCAAAAGGCTTCGAGCTTCCCGTACCTTTCCGTTGCTCCCTTGTCAAGGACCCAGTTGGTTGTCCCAGGTACCCGCGGCTCCCCCAGCTTCTCGGGAGAATTAGCCCTTCGTCAGGTTCTCGTTCGACACATGATCCCACATTTCCCGATCGCATATTCCGGGGAAAGAGTCCAAGCCGTTCAAAGCCGTCCAATCTGTCCAAGACTACACCATTCTTGTTGCCAAGCATAGGTATCAGGTGACCACAAGAAGAGCATCGGCTTCTTGGCAGGGGTGTGTGTGTCACTGTGAGCGCCCTCTCTCGCCACGACAGTCGGCAGTTTGCATTTGTGACTCGACGTCTTGAAGGTTAATGATCTGCCCCTTCGCAACTATAATTTGCCTGGCCAGCTTGACCTTTTGCAACCTACCTAGCCTAGGTAATACTCTGGAATGCTTGAAATTCCCTCGTCAGAAGTCCGTGTGGCGTAAATCCTAGCCACAGTCGTCGTTCTTCGGCTTGTCGCATGGCGAATCGACGTGGTTCGTTGCCCTACGTTAGACTGTCTGTACTCTGTACGGATATACCTTCCCACAGTTCCCGCCTGAGATGGCATGGTCTTGACAGGTGTAACATGGAGCCTGATTGATTATTGTCACCTATAATTCACGATAATGTCATGGCCTGAGTGATGAGGTTCCGTACCGTAGGTACCTAAGTCCGTAAGTCGTGGCTTGTATCGGACAAACATTTTCTCTTCCCGTCTCCACTAAAATTTTGACGCGCGACGAACAACCTCCATCCCACCTAGGTTCTCATACAGAGTTCCTCCATCCCACCTAGGTTCTCATACAGAGTTCCTCCAATTATCGAGACAAGCCGCTTGCAATCACTCGCAGGTCTCCAATAATTTCCACCCCTGACCCTCATTTATCCACCCCATCTTTCAAGCCACAATGACTGGCCGAGGAGGCGGCGGTCGCCGCGTTTTGCTCCCTCCGATGTAAGCCACACCCTCTTATGCTTCTCCATCGCGCCTCGCTTCGAGGCGCGATCGCTTTTGATACAGGGTCAATACTGACGCATCCAAGTAATATGATCTTCAAACTACTTCAATCAGTGAGTACAACAGACAGCCGGGGCATGCGCATGCCAACACCGAAGGGTTTCGAGAAACATAACGTCGAGCCAACAACACTTTACCGATTGATCAGTCCTGTTTGAGCATGCGACAAGCCCATGAGCGGGATGGATTAACGCAGCAGCCTAATACCCCATGGGTCTGGCTGGGGGGGGGGGGGGGGGGGGGGGGGCGCGGGCGCGGGGGGGGGGGGGGGGGGGGGGGGGGGGGGGGGGGCGGGGGCCCCGGGGCCGGGGGGCGGGGTGGTGGTGGTCGTGGCGGGCGTGGAGGTAATGTTG